TGTAATATAATTTCAAGTAGGAATTGTAATGGTATGTTTTTTCTCCAGTACCTTGTTGTTTTTATCACAGTAGCTTTGTAATATAATTTCAAGTAAGAGTTGTAATGGTCCCTGTCTTGCCTTTGTTGATGAGAATTGCTTTTGTTGCCCTGGGTGATTAACATCTCTGGTGTGAAATGCAACCTCAAACTGAAGTGTCCTGGTGGCAGGAATTTTAAGTTTCCTCTAACTCATGCTATCATGGGTCACTTATGCAAGGCTCAGTTTCCACCCACTCCTCTGCACCTCCTCAAGCATAAGAGCAAGTTCAACAGTGTCCAGTCTCCAGTCTCCCCCCGGGATTATGCTCTGATGCTTAACTTTGGTTGATTATAGGTATTTGCTAGGATTTTCTTTCTCTCTTTATCTCTCTCTGTCTTTCTGTCCCTGTCTCTGTCTGTGTCTTTCTCTGTCTCTGTCTGTCTGTCTGTCTCTCTCTTTCTCTTGTCTTTCTCTCCCTTCTGTTGTTTTGCTGTGTATATTTGGGATGCAGATGCACTATCCCACATTTGTTTGTCTTTTTATAACTATAAGAAATTTAAAGAAATTGAGAATTTTAAGTTATTCTGTTCACATTGAATGTGATACACTGCTGTCTTTATATCAAAGTCCTTTTAAGTGAAAATGTTAGTTAAAATTTTATAGTTATCTCTATGAAGTCTCTAGACATTTTGGTAGCTTGCTTAAGCTATTTCTAGGATTTGCTTGTACTAATTAAAATTTTAAACTTTAAACAATTTATAAATATTATTTGGCTTACACTAGATGGGATTTTGTTAAGTGTAATAAACCAGATACATAATGTCAAGCACTACATGTGCTGGCTCTTATGGAGAAGCTTAAGAAACAGTCAACTTGAACACAAACTAGGCTTTAGGAGAGTTGGAGAAAGGAGTGTGGGGAGATTGGACAAAGCAGGACTGGAATAATTAGTGCGCACTGTCTCCGTGCTGTGATGTATCACACCAAACTCCATCAGTGTGCATAATTTCTACATGTTGAGTACAAATAAAATGAAAATCATTAGGACAAATAAATGCTGTGTGAGTTTCCAACCTGCTAACCTGCCCTATAGACTCCAAATGTGTCAGATGGCAGGATCACATGATCTAAGGCTATAAAATATCTCTCTTACAAGTTTATTTTCTTTCTACAGAGACATTTTTATGGTTTAGATCTAAAAGGACCCACAAATGTCTCCCAATTGTGGGTGGGGTATGTACAGAAGAGGAAGATCACTGGGGTACATTGGAGGGTGATTTCTCACCCCAAATCTACAGGAGATGTAGTCACTGAGGTCTCCCCTGTACTCTCTTGTCTCTTTGCTTCTTAGCTGTCATGACACGATCAGCTTCTGTCTGCCACACCATCATGCCAGGCCTTTTCTGTCTCGGAGCAAGCATCCACTGAGCTTGTGAGTCAAAATAACCTGATCCTCCATTAAGTAGCACAGGTTTGACATCATGTCCCCCTGAGAGGAAAGTAACTAATAAAGACAGGTGGCTTGAGGAGTAGGGCCATTGCTGTGACTGAACTTGATTAGTTGTTCAAAAGATTTGGAGGTGGTTGGCAGGAGGAATGTGGCAAGGTGTGGAGACCCAGGCTGGAGATGCCCTAGAATATTGTGCGCAGTGCTTGATGTGCAAACCTGGTCAGAGCTCAGAAGAACAGAATGTTGATAAGAGTGAGCACAGTTAGGTTCAGGCTCACCTCCTGGCAGCTGGGAAGCAGGGAGAGGGAGGAAGGGAGCAGTATTCCACAATCCTCTTCCAGGGCGCTCCTTCAATTCTGGGAGTGAGCACTGAAAGTGTATGTATGAGTTCCATCTATGCTGTAGGTGTGGCCTGTCCTGAAAGGTCAGCTAAGAACTCTAAAAATGAGCATGAAGACTTGTGTGTATTTCTCTTTACAGTAACGTCCAATTTAGCAGGGGGAAAATTTTCTCCCATCTTTACTTTCCTGGACAATCTGCTAACCTGAGCTTTTCCTACAGCACACAAGGATGTGTCTGTCTGATTCTCATCAGGACAAATGCCTCTAGTCGTACTGCAAAGCAGGACTTTCCTGTGGGGAGGGACACAGACCAGACACGGCCACAGTCAGTGCTTTTTATCTTTATTTTGACATAAACAAAAAGCACTTAGCACCTACTCAGAGAACTTCAGGGTCTGGAGGAGTTCCCCCACATCAGCTGTTTTTCTTTCCTCTACTGTGGTGAGCATGGTCCTGCCTCCCGTGCAGCTTCTGTGGGTCTGAGCACCTACAGGAGCTCATGCTCATGCACATGGGTTCATTGGAGATTTTCTAGTAAGTGATTCCATTAAAATCCTACAAAAATGTCACAGTAGTCCCAAATATTGTCGTAATTTGCCTGCCAAGACAAGCAGGTATGCTTGCATGGCAAAATGTTTATCATCCACTAAGAAAGTTTGCTAGTGTGATGTTTTGAATGTCAGGTGTGGAACTCAGCTCTAAATGTCACAGTCCAAGGGAACTTTAATGTCAAAAAGGCCATTGCTATTGGAGGGAGTCTAGGGTGAGCAAGGGCCAGGCAGGGCCTTCTGCAGGACCTGGTCCAGCACAGGTGATTGTGGGCTGTTCCCCTGGGAGTAGCTGCCCCCATCGCCTGCGCAGTTTGGCATTCTGAATTCAGGCCTGGGTTCAGTGCCTTGGACACAGGGCCTTTCTATACCTTGAGAGGGATTTTTTTTTTTTTCTGAGTACAGAAATAAATTCAGAAACAGAGCTGGGTTCCTGGTCGGGAGGAGTGGGAACAGGGTGGCCTCTGGATGACTTCTCACTGAGACAGTGCTGGTCTTGTCATGTACTGCACGGGATGCTGAGAAGTTCCCGAGACCAGCAGTGCTCAGCGTCCTCATCTATGAAATGGGTCTTACAAACATTTTTGGTTGTAGAACTGGTGAAATTTCAGAAGTGTATTATAACTACAGACAGAATGCCTGACATAGATCGAATATTTGGTGATAAGCAGGTGGCTGTAGTGGTCCCTTAAATCTGGAAGATCTTGTGCTCTCCTTGGAAAATTTGTGTGTTTTTCGCAGGGAAGATGCAGCTCAGTCTGAAACTGAACAGTGAATCAAGCTAAAATCCTACTTAATAAACATTCTCCCAATGTATTCTCTCCAATAGGATGTATTACTTCATTACATACTGGGGAGTCTGTCCTGCTAGGACGAATTCAAAGCTCTTGAATTTGGGTGAAGAACCGCATTCCACTCTGTGTTGGATTGTCTTCCCCTGGAACAACTATTTTCAATCATATCACATTCACCAAATATCTAGCTTTGTGTCTCAGGAAGCATCTGTGGCAATGGGGCCTAAAGCCCTGGTCATTCTAGTGACAAGACCAGCTCAGCACAGACCCAATTATGTGAAGCCTGAAGCAAAATTTCTACACCCTGACAACACCAGCATAAACTTCCTTTAGAAAGAAATAATTGAAAACTGGCCCAGACTGAGTCCTGGTATAAGACAGGAGAAGCCTCTCTCACACTCTGAGAAGGATCTCTGGCGGGGGAACCTCCTGATGAGGTGTCATCTGGTCACTCATGAAACTGGGTGAATCCACTGGCCAGATACAGACAGCCATCTTGTATTAATGTTGAGGTAAACGGGACTCAAGAGGAGAAGCTGTTCCCAGGGAAGCTGTCAACTGAGTAGTGCTAGACTCTGGAAAGTGGACACTCCCAGCAGAGAGGAGAGTACCAGGTGAGGGCCGTTAGGACCTCACTTCACCTGAGAGTCAGTTACACTTATCTCTCAAGAAATCTGTGCAGATGTTGGGCATAAGTTCCGTTGTTCGTGCTCTGCGTATGACCACACTTCTCACAGCTGCGCCAGGTGAGGACTCCTTTCAGCTTTATTAAACATACAAAAACAAAGCTCAGAGCAGTCTTCTGCCCTCTCAATCTTTTATCTAAAGTCCAAGACACCTCATCTGAGGGTCTGCCGTTGACCACCTTGCAGTTGCACAGAAATCAGCTCCCTCAGAAAGAACTGCTCTTACCCCAAGCCCCAAATCCCCTAGCTCAGCCCTCACCCATGGCTGCCCTCTGCTAGACCCGCTCCCCTCAGGGCTCTTCTGCATGTCATTTAGGAGCTGCAACCCATCTGTCTACCTCCTGACATTCGTGGTGCTCCTGGACTCCACCATCCATCCCGTGGGGCAGGTTTGATCCTGCTCAGTCTGTTATGCCCATATCTCCACCACAGACACAGGGCCTCCAAAGACACTTGTGCAATGAACCCTCGTGTGTCATGTGCCTGTGAGCAGATAATTTGTTTAATGGCATTAAATTTCTCTAGTATAATTGAACAACACAGGCACATTCAGGTGCACATACAAATTTTAATGCTATAGAATAACAAGGAAAAGGAAATAAGAAGCAGGGACTTGATTTTATCCTCATGCTTTTTTCTGGACTCCATCTAACTTGTTGTAAATTTCTTATACATTTCCAAGGAAATTTCTATTCCAACTGGAGGATATCTTGCTCAATATGACAAACAAAATGAAAGCTTTCCCTGCTGGGTTTACAAAAAATGAAGATGCTTACACGTGGAAAGGACAAGCAAAATTCCTTGTGATCAATATCACAGAAACTCAGTTTCAATCAGAAATCAAAAAGAAGTTCCAGTATCATAAAAGTAAAAAGAAATGTGTGATTAACAGCATTCTTCAAATAAGATGTGCAAGCTATGTCAATCTTACAAAAAAGGAACAAGACTCTCAAAAGGGATGAAAAAAACATTTCTAAGTAACCCAAATAGAACAGACACCAAGATAGTATGCACTGTATTCTCCCCACCTCCTCTGGCTCTTCACAACTTAGAAACTGACTGGTCTCCGCAAACTCAGACAGAGAACGGGCCTCATTTCACCTGGGGTGGGAGCTAAGCCAGTGGTGTTACCATGGCACACTCCCTGCCCCTGGCATTCACACTTCGTCCTCAATGGCCTCTAACTCATTCATGGCAGACTCTAGGTCTTCTTTCAAAGCCTGATCATATAGACGTGGATAGGACCTGGGATCCATCTTGTTAACCTTGCATAAATGCTCCAAGACTTTCATCTTGTTGGTTTCAGCGTGGGTCCTGGGACCCCAGAGGAACTCATAGCGAGCAGGATAACTACTGGGCACCTGCCGGTACTCCAGGTACCCTTCCTGCACCAAATCCTCGGTGATGAATTTCCACCGGTCCCCAGTAGGAAAGTGCCTCTTTGGTAACATCTGCCTCGTTCTCACTACTTCCTTTATCTCCTCTGTACTGGCATAGCTGCCATTTACAAAGATGACTGTTAAGATCACTATCAAGAGGTCAATTTTGGGAATAATCTGGTCATCGCCCACTATCCCTGTATAAGTGAGGCCCAAGAGAGGGACAATGTTATATGTGTCGCCAGGGGAATTCCTCTTCCTCACATCAATGCCAAAGCCGAGACACATGCACTCACGCACCTCCTTGAAGAGCAGAGGGAACTGCTCATGGTCATCGTGGTCCACAATGTGCAACATTTCTGCCTTGGTGACCAGCTCTTTCTTTTGATACTTCAGGAGCAAGAACTCTACCAATTTATCTGTCTTGTCACCTATGAACACGCGCCTCAGGATCTGAGGGACTTGCATGACCAGGATGGTGTATGCATCCTCCTCTTCACTGCTGGAGGTCTGGCTGGATTCGCTGCTTTCACTGAAATCCATAGTAACGGTGGAGAGAACACAGTCCTGAGGATTCTGGGGAAAACTTGGTGCTCCGGCCTGAGGTGCTTCAATTCTTTAACCCGGGGTTTTAGTACAGGAGGAATAGGAGGCAGAAGAAGCTATGGCTGCTAATTCCTCTCCTTAAGGTTTGGGAACCTGCACCTCCACAAGCCCACGTGCCCCACTTCGGTCAGGACGGCCTCCTCCTGGCTTACTGCAGTGTTTCCTCTGACTGTAAAGATGGCCTTGGAGACAGCAAGAACTGGGTGATGAGGACTCAGATGCCTGGAGGAGAGAGGGACACTGTGAGTGTACTGAGGTGAGAACACCACTCCTGTCAGCTCCCACAGAGGCCCGATTTCAGGCCTTCCCTTTGAGTGGTGCTCTAGGGCCTCACAGGCTCCTGTTGTCATGGCAGCTCTGTCCCCAAGAGGCTCAGAGAGGAAGTGAGACTGCGCCTGGGGTGACAGCTGCACCACAGAGCACAAGCCTCTAGGGCAGACAGTATGACAGGTGGGGCCTGGCCACACGAGTTGCCTTTGTCCTTGGAAGGTAAAGCCCTAGGTACACATCAGGGCAGGCACTCTCCTGGACTCCAGACCCTGTCTGGGCCTCCTCCGTTGTGTGACCTGTCCGTACTCCTCAGACCCAGACCTAAAGCACCTGCTTTCTGATCCTCCTCTGAGAGGCAAGGAGAACCCGTTACACTGCACCTGGCAAGCTCAGTCCTGGTCTCCCTGCCTCACAGCAGGGCCGGCTCTACTTTGTGAGGTCCCTTCTATCCTGGGTGGTTTCTCTACTCTCTGCTCACTCAGCATCCTCCGCTGCGCTTCAGCAGGGCCTGGACCCCAATCCTGTCCTGGCCTGGAGCAAACACTTAGAAGAAGTGTTCTGCAGCCTGACAGGGAACACAAGGCAGTAAAGGGAACACACATCTGGCCACAGCTGCCTGGAGGCAACAGACTGAGGGGGAAACCTTAAGTGTGCTCCATGTGCCCTAAAAAAGGGACCCTGCTGCATCCTTATCTTGAAAAAATATAGTCTGGGAATTGCCCTGGCATGAATGGAGACACCTTCTTTAAACCACAGCCCTAACCCTCTGAGACATTCAAAGAGGAAGAGAGCAAAAGCCAGTCCACCTGTATTCTCTGAGCTCACGTTGAGTGACAAAGGCACAGTTTGATCTTAGGGTACTGTGAGTTTTTGTTTCCACAGGGTTCCCTCTGGCCTCAT